AGGCGAGGACAGGGCTGGAGTTCCAGGGAGGAAGTTATCAACAAAGACTCTATGGAATCCAGGAACTTTATCGCCGTCTGGGACCATTTTATGTAACCCCGCCCCCCTCATAGTAATGACCACGTGCCCAAGCAATTCGACTAGATTTTATAGACCGAGAACAAGTCACAATAACCAGCTGGGGCCAGATTCACGAAGCAGTTACGCAAGTAGTTACGAACGTGTACGTCTTTCCTCAATCTTTGACGGCTTTGGTTACATTTGTTAAACAGTTTACAAGCATGAAATCTTGCTAAACAACTGTTGTTATTGTTATAAACAGCCTCCTGGTGCTTCGGAGCTCATTAACTGTTTAATAATTGTAAACAAATCCGCCAAAGATTGACAAAAGATGTACAGGGTTCGTAAGTTCTTGAGTAACTGCTTCGTGTATCTGGGTCCTGGCTGAATCGATCTACCAAGCCCACTCTTGTGAAATGACAGGCACGACGACGTTTCGGTCCGTCCAGGATTTGTTAAGGTTCCAGGACAGACCGAAACGTGGCCACGTTTTTCTCTTCTCACAAGTTTGTGTTGTGTGTTCCCATACACGGGGCTATCCCTCGCTCAGGTTAGTGCACACACGCCGGGAAACAAATATATAAAACCTAAAATGTTTTCGTTCACACTTTAAAGGAAGAGGTCAGGGAGGATGGAAGGAGTGGAGGAGGTGATGAAGAGCGATGAGGGTGGATCACTCTAGCTCAATCTCCATCCCTTAGCTCATATATACAAGCCTTCCCCTCCCACCACCACACCGTACCCCCCTACCACCACAACCACCAATCCCCTCCTTCTCCCACCGCTCCTAGCTAGGGGTCCCACAGGGCCCACCTGGTCCCTACTATTTCCCAGTTGTTGGGGGGTGTATTGTGTGTGGCTACACTGACACCCCCCTCTCCTACACCCCCCCCCCCCCACCCCCTCCCTCAGGATATAAACCCAGCTGCGTATATCCCAGTATCGTGGATATCTCCGGATGCAAACTATTATCCATGGCTCTTGACACACACACGTTAGTGATCTCAGAGTCTCACTCAAGGTATCTTAATTGCACCTGAACATAAGACATCTGGAAAGGCAGCCGCCCCCCCTACAAGAACCTGGTGAACAACGGTCTCTCCCAACAGGTGACAGGTGAAAGGTGACCCTCCCACAACAGGTGACAGGTGAAAGGTGCCCCTACCCCCAACAGGTGACAGGGGAAGACAGGGTTGGTTTCGGTTCTTGGACAGGACCTCCAGGATCGAGTAAATACCGCAATTCCAATTCAGGCGTCGGTAGGGTGATGGAGAGGGAAGGAGGGAGGGAGGGAGGCAAGACATGGATGAAGGAAATCAAAGATGAACGAGTGAGGCAAGAGGAACAAGTGAAGGGAAGATGAATGAGGGGGAAGGGAAAGATGGACGAGGGAAGGAAATGATCTTAGGACGTGTAATAGGGAGAGAGGGGGGAGAGAGACAGACAGACAGACAGACAGACAGAAAGACAGGAAGAAAGAGGAAGGACAGACAGAGACAGACAGAGACAGACAGAGACAGAGAGACAGAGACAGACAGAGAGAGACAGACAGAGAGACAGTGTGGTGTACCCACAGCACAACACCTGGCCGGGTGGACCAAGGGGGGAGACCCACTATACACACACAATAAAACAGATATAACAGTTGCAGGATAAGTTTAACCCTTCAGGGTCATTGTCACTAGCAATGTTGCAGGCTCCACGCCTCGTCCCTTGCAGTCATGCATGCACTCTCCTGCAGGCAACACTGCAAGTTATTATTCAATTTCATCACATTTGGGTTCCCTCGGGGGTTCCCCACACCTACAGTCTGAATACAACACACTGTATTCTGGGGGATACAGTGGAGGAGCCACATCCTCCACATTAAAGATCCTTTTGAGATTCAAATAAATGATTCAGTGGTTTAATTAAAATTAAATTTAGATTTAATCAGTCCCACCAATGTCATTAGTCTTCACTACCGGTCTTTGCAGCCCCGCAAATCTCAGCAGACCCCAAGACCGGGGTCTCCCATAAGACCGGAGTCTCCCCAAAGACCGACTTGGGAGTTTAAAAGTACATTTCCCTGGTCGATCACTTCCCAACATAACACATTATTGAACATTGAACAAATACGTCGTACTCCTCCAGACAATTTTCCTAGACGAGTTGAACAGCCTGTGAACTTCTCCCTCGTGAAGAGCTGCGAAGTTCAAAGCTCCAAGTGCACTTGAGACAGACAGACTTGACAGCTGCCCGCATAAGCACACAGTCGAGGCCCCTCTTTGAGTCTATATTAAGTCATATCATGTCGGGGCGTTTGGCTATAGAGCTTTAAGTGTGTCTCTCCTCTTCCCGGTTACTTAAGTGTTGCAACCTCTTGTGTAATGCTACACACACTTCGGCATTACGGAACTGCTCATGCTAATGATCACCCGAATGAGGAACGGTGCACGAGTCATGAGTAAGTTGTAGAAAAATAAGTTGTAGAAACTGCAACAGTAAATTCTGTTGCAAGGAGGAGCAACAACTTGAGTAACAACTTGAATAACAGCAACGGGGGTAATATCAGCGTGACAACTTAGGTTTTTTTGAGGTGAGTGAAAGGTGGAAGCAGCCACAGCCCCATCGTGACAAATTAGGAAGGTGGATGGTGGTGGGGTAGGTGGGTAGAGTGGGGTATGGCGGTGGGGTAGGTGGGTCGGGTGGGTATGGAGGGGGGGGGGCGGTAACTTGGACGGGTACAGCAGGAGTGACAGAGTTGACAGCACAAGATACAGACAGCTTGAACTGTTATTAACTTGTGTCAGTGTGACGTGTGAATTTTGTAACCAATTTATCTTAGCCTCACAATTTCATTTCCCAATTAAAGAAAAGGTTAAAGGGTAAAGAAAAGGCTTAGGGGGAAGAGGATAGGAGGTTGAAGGGAATAGGCAGATGACGGGAACAGAAATAAGAAGGTAATAGAGGGGGAGAGAATGAATAGGAAGACAGATAGGTAAGATAGCAACATTAAACAAATATAACAAATACAGGGAATTGAGAAGTGAAAATTAAGCATAGTAAGGACAGTAAAGAAATGGGGGATAGAACAACGAAAAGAGAGAGGAAGGGAGTGGGAGAGAGAGAGAGAGGGGGGGGGAAAGAGAAAGGTAACGCTAGATAAAGTTACGACAAGTGACTGCAGTCAAACAGAAGTGAAGATGATCACTCTCGTCGTAACCTCAGGTGAAGCAACGCCGGGAACCACTTTAGTCTAGCTCACCATGGCATCACACACCAATTACCCCTTCCTCTCTCTCTCTACCTCTCTCTCACTCACTCTCTCTCTGTCTCCCCCTCACTCTCTCTCTCTGTCTCCCCCTCACTCTCTCTCTCTGTCTCCCCCTCACTCTCTCTGTCTCTCCCTCACTCTCTCTCTGTCTCCCCCTCTCTCTCTCCCCTCTCCCTTCCTCTCTCTCCCCTCCACAACAATAGCACAACTGACCACACAATTATCGTGGGAACTTTTTTTGATATGGAAAAAGCCCACCAGCATCAGCTGCAGCTTAGTCAGGATAAAAACACCAACACCCAAAAAAGGAGGCCTGGTCGAGGACCGGGCCGCGGGGACGCTAAGCCCCGAAATCATCTCAAGATAACCTCGAGATAACCCAGTACTCCCTCGCTTGGTACACTGCCCACTTCTCGCCTCGCAAGGCACACAAGCTACCCAAAGAAAACAGGTAAACAGAGATCTTATATTTGCACAGCAACAGCCTACTTGAACACACGATATGGTAAAAAAAATTGTTGCAATATATTTTCTCATTGCAGAGTAGACATGCGGAGTATGATAGCATAATGGGCAGCAGATCTTGGCTCCACGACTGTTGCATCGTGCAAATCACAGGAGTAAATGGAAAAGAGATTCCTGCAGAAAGTACCAGATCAGCTAGACTGTGATGTCCGTGTAGGGTGTGTGCGGGGGCCGGTGTTAACAGCCCTTAACGGTGGTTAAGGTGTCACTAAGACACTCCCGCTCATTGTTCCCTTAATTCTCAAAGGATGTCTGTCTTGCCTGCTTGTTGTCTGTCCATTGTTCCTGCTTCCCCTGACGCAACACACACGCGCGCACACACACACACACACACACACACACACACACACACACACACACCCACACACCCACACCCACACACACACACCCACACACACACACACACCCACACCCACACACAGTGGTGGAGGCTGACTCAATACACAGTTTCAAGTGTAGATATGATAGAGCCCAGTAGGCTCAGGAATCTGTACACCTGTTGATTGATGGTTGAGAGGCGGGACCAAAGAGCCAGAGCTCATCCCCCGCCAGCACAACTAACCCAGCCCACCGAACCCCTCCCAGCTCTCTCTCTCCCGGCTGGTGTAAATACACAACCAATGTCGCACAACAGAATCACCCCAAGACGTTAATTGCTCGTTACTTTCGACGTAAGGAACACCACCACCTCCACCAGGCTGCTACTGTAGACATGGCCCTCATGGCAGGAGCTGTTGTACACTGTACCAGTCCCAGGTACACTGGGTACACGCGCCACAACAGCCAGGGTGTACAAGTAACTTTCTGCGCCACCATATGAGTTTACCTGCAGTGTACCTGGAAGAACACTTACCTGTACGACGACATATTGAGCAATGTGGCAATAACCATACGTATAAAAAATATACATATCGGTTTAATAAACAATATAAACTAATTGGAGGGAGAAAAGTACGGTACAGTGAATGAATGATTCTTGACACCATTAATGGGATACCTGGTGATCACTGACCCATGAATGGGATACCTGGTGATCACTGACCCATGAATGGGATACCTGGTGATCACTGACCCATGAATGGGATACCTGTTAATCACTGACCCATGAATGGGATACCTGATCACTGACCCATGAATGGGATACCTGGTGATCACTGACCCATGAATGGAAGATCACTGACCCATGCATGGGGATGAACAAGTCCTCACTCTGCCTGCAGCACTGAGAGGGACCACCTCGCCCCGGCGGGTTACCTGGTGTAGAAAATAAATATGGCATTAGATTAGCCAGAATTATTGGTTATTTTTCAACCCTAAAAAATAATCATTTGAATTGGAATTTCCCGCAGCTTGTAAACACACATTTTTTTCATTCTATTTTACATAACTGGAACAATTTGGGAGAATATACTGAGGCAATGAGCCTAGTTTGACTATGTAAGTTGGTATGGTAAGATTCGTCCATTTATAAGGGAAAACCCACTTCAAATGGGGCCCCTCTAGCACAGTGGTCTACGTCCTCATCTCACAACCAAGGATTCGAGAAGGCATAATGTGAACCAAGTTAGACGGCATCTCGTTTTAAAATCGGTATAAACTACTTTTCATGTAATGATCATGTTCTCAGCGCCATACTGAGAGAGATTCCCCTGCCCATACTGGAGAGATTCCCCTGCCCATGCTGGAGAGATTACCCTGCCCATACTGGAGAGATTCCCCCTGCCCATACTGGAGAGATTACCCTGCTCATACTGGAGAGATTCCCCCTGCCCATGCTGGAGAGATTACCCTGCCCATACTGGAGAGATTACCCTGCCCATACTGGAGAGATTCCCCCTGCCCATACTAGAGAGATTACCCTGCCCATACTGGAGAGATTCCCCCTGCCCATACTGGAGAGATTACCCTGCCCATACTGAGAGAGATTCCCCTGCCCATACTGGAGAGATTACCCTGCCCATACTGGAGAGAGATTCCCCTACCATCTCACCCAATATAACGCTGGATCCAGCAACCCTGACCAATGGTTGACCCACAACAAGCCACATTACGACCCTAGAGTGGGCCATTTTTGTTGCCCTTGCCGGCGGGTCTAGTCCATAAGAGAAGTCATTATACAGAAGGGAAGTACATTACTAAACTTGATATTCGCGACAGCCTTTTGCTCGAGGCTGTTGTGAACCGGGTTTGGAGTAGGTGACGTACCGCCGCCTGAATTCTTGCTCCCTGACTCATGATGGAAAGTCCAATTACGTCCGAGACGTGCCTCAAGACGAGTCTTGGACACTCTTAAATTAATGAGCCTAAACCGAGTTCGCGAGCGTAAGCCCGAGTTCGCGAGCGTAAGCCCGAGTTCGCGAGTGTACGCTCATACGATGCAAGTCACAGATCCAATGCGTCACAACGATGTTTCTTGCAACGTACTGAACACCGCCGAAACGTCAGACGTCATGGGCCCGCCCCTGCCATCAGTGACATGGGCCCGCCCCTGCCACCAGTGACATGGCCCCCCCCCCTGCCATCAGTGGCATGGGCCCGCCCCTGCCACCAGTGACATGGCCCTCCCCCCTGCCACCAGTGGCATGGACCCACCCTGCCACCAGTGGCATGGGCCTCCCCCCCCCCCTCCTGCCACCAGTGTCATGGCGTTATCCTCGCTGAAGGACGGACACAGTGGCCGGGCTATACGACCTGAGAAAAGTATGCACCCTACTGCGTCACCGCTACTCTATAACCCAACCTAATCCATCTCAACCCAACCCAACCTATCCTAACTTAACAAAAGTAAGAGATAAAATGTTGTCTTCTACTCCCTTCCGTGCTGCTCGATACAGAAGTATCTGGCAGCTTTCCCAGAACTCGGCCCGTCGAATACACTGCATCTGTCAACATTGTGTAAAGGAAAACATGCATCCCCTTGAACATTATACTGTGGAATGTCCCACCTTGACTAACTTCCGACACCCGTCCCTGGGTTCAGAGATGCTGAACTCTGTAAATATGACCTGAATACTGGACCACGATGCCAGACCGGACCCGAGCCCCGTAGCTCGGCTGTAATACGGCATTTTAAAGTTCATTTCAATCTTGCCCCGGAAGGCTAGGTCACCAGGCAATAAGTCACAGTAACTTGGCTGAAGTTTGTTGACCAGACCACTTACTAGAAGGTGAAGGGGTCCTGGACCATTCTCAAGTCGATTGCGAGAATGGTCTCACAACTGACTTGAGAATGGTCCAGGACGGACCGAAACGTCGTCGTCCCTTCACTTTCTAGTGTGTGGTCTGGTCAACCTAGATCACCAGAGTGCCATTCATACAGTGAGTGAACATACCGCCAAAGAAGAATGCACAATACACTCCAGTACGAAGAAAAAGTAGATAAAGTGCTGGGTTGTTCATCCTGTCACTTGTACCCAGACGCAGCTGGGATTTACTTAACTTACGCGTGTGAACACGTTGTAAACAAAGGATTAACATTTTACAAGTTTACTTTGCGGGTGCAAAGTGGAGGGGGGGGCGTACTTTTTTTTAAGGACGGTATCTATTAGTGAGAAAAAATTCTTTCAGTACTCAATGTGGGGTTCATTATATTACACATAATGTTAAGGTCTTGTAGATGGACACAGTCTCTGAGACAGTGGTCCACACCATGTGCTCACCTAGTTGTGCTTGCGAGGGTTGAGCTTTGGCTCTTTGGTCCCGCCTCTCAACCGTCAATCAACTGGTGTACAGGTGTGCTTCACTCATGCTGCACATCCTCCAACATGGCTCTCCTCGGCTGTTGTTTCCATCCCGGGTCTCTACGAGGTACTTGTGACCAACAATTATATAGGTGATGTTGACCAGATGGACGACGACGTTTCGGTCCGTCCTGGACCATTCTCAAGGCGATATCTCGACTTGAGAATGGTCCAGGACGGACCGAAACGTCGTCGTCCCCTCACTTTCTAGTGTGTGGTCTGGTCAACATACTTCAGCCACGTTATTGTGACTCATCGCCTGCTTATATAGGTGATGTAATTAAAACTTATAATCACCTTGTGTGGTTGCGAAGTCGGTGATACAAATGTACCTACCTCCCGTTCTCACAATGTGCCACTCCGTAAAAAATATAATTGTCTTTACCTAACCAGTATAAAAGTAAGGAGAACGTCAGCATTACGACGCATTAACTTTTACTATTACGTCACATTTGTAACGGATTGGTCGATTCTGTACAAAAAATACGACATATTATGTGGGAGGCCGAGTGGCTGAGGCCACACCCACCTGGGGATCCAAGCGGCGGAAGACGGAGATATTAAATTGAGTGGTTCGGGTTGTTAGCGCTCGTTACACCCCTCACTTTCTCCCCACTATTGGCCATCAACCCGTCCCACCACCTACTTGTCGCATTTCTTACGAAATCGACATCCCCTTATCATAAATTGTTTATACAGTATACCTAGGTCATAAAAGTATTTGTGTGTACGTCTGATACCATACTATTTGTGAAGGAGGAAATGTATATGTTTATCTCTCAGAATGTTTGGTAATATGTTTATTGTTTGTGATGTGTGTCTATGTATGTATTAACACGATGTACTGAACGGGGTGAGAATAGCTTGAGCTACCTCATCCCTTTGTGTGTATTTTACCTCAATAAACTTATTTCAATTTCAATTTAATTTCAATCCCCTTATCCCCCCCCCCCCTTCCTCCCAACATGCTTCACTAGTTCCCTTGTTTTCCCCCACAAGTTCCCTAATTTCCTTTAGTCTCTCACAACAGCCTCCCCCACCAAAGTAGGCATCATTCACCATCACCGTCTCCCTGCCACCGTAGCCTCACCATCACCGTCTCCCCGCCACCGTAGCATCACCATCACCGTCTCCCCGCCACCGTAGCATCACCATCACATCACCGTGTCTGGAGATCTACCAATAAGCCTCAAGACTGAGCTTCAGTGTACTAGTAATAAATCTTCACATCTGTCCACAGTTACAGCATCATGGAAATTTCTGAGGCTCCCCGGCCATGTTTCATTCGGGAATGTTGAATCCGGCTTCGTCGCTGACAAATTAGAAGATGAGAATGATCAGAAAAGCGAAAGAATCGTTCAGAGGAAATGAATAAAAGTCAATCAAAACCAGACTCATTAATGAGCACAACACAAACCCGTCAAGGGAGGTGGAACACACACCAACACTCACAAGCCGCCGCCGCCGTCGGCACACACTTCAACTCCACGCAACAATAAAACATAATAATAAAAAAGCAAGCAAGCACTCGACCACAAAGACCCCAAAGAAAGGAGAGAAGAAAATAGGCCTGAAGGTCAGACGTATTGCAAGAAGTGCGTGCGGGCGGGCGGGCGCATGAGGGCGGGAGGGCGGGTGCATGGTAGCCGCCCTTTATCTGTACCTGCCTCTGTACCTCTTGGTGTACCTCTTCTTGTAACGGTGCATGACCCCCCTTTCATGACTGTACCGCTCCTGTACCCGCTTCTAGGTGAACCCGTGTCCGTACAACTGCTGCCCCCCACACGCATACCTTCAGTGGTACCACTACTGCATACTTTCAGTGGGCCCCCCACACGCATACCTTCAGTGATACCACTACCCCTCACACGCACACCTTCAGTGGTACCACTACCCCCCACACGCATACTTTCAGTGGTACGTCCGAACAAGTGCAAACTTTTTAAGCAACTTGGGAGCACATGCACTGAACTTTTCTAATCTCATCATGAATTAGGTCAAAGGTCAGCATGAATGATGTCAGAGGTACCGCTCCTTGGATCATAAGACCGTAGGTCCCTAGCGCTCTAGGGGAAGGTCCCTGGCGCTCTAGGGGAAGGTCCCTGGCGCTCTAGGAGGAGGGAAGGTCCCTGGCGCTCTAGGGGGAGGCCCCTGGCGCTCTAGGGGGAAAAGTCCCTGGCGCTCTAGGGGGAAAGGTCCCTGGCGCTCTGGGGGAAGGTCCCTGGCGCTCTAGGGGAAGGTCCCTGGCGCTCTGGCGGAGGGGGAAGGTCTGGTGGGAAAAGGTCACCCCCCAGGGAAGGTCGTAAGACCCGGGACTAAGGGCCACAGTGAGGGACAATTAAGGGGCGGGAGGAACACTTACGACACTCGGCCACACGCGTCACTTAACTCGCTGGCAAGAAAAACAAGTCAATATACAAATTAAACGATTCCTCGATTATTTCGTTGCAAGGACGATTGGCAACATTGTTTTACCACAAAGCATAATATTTTTTTTCGGGTTACTTTAATCAA